CAAGAAAGGGGAAGGGAAAAGAACACATATGTATACATATTCATATGATGATGCAGGCATATCTAAATGTGCAATACTTGTCAAGTTACTGTCTGTCCCTGTTCTTGACTGCTATCTACAAGGACAGAACAACTGCTATCTATAAGGAAAGCAATAGTGTCAGAGAGGAAGAAACAAACTGGTTCTAGGTGCCAGCTGCCAGGAAGAAGGCATCCTCCCTTACGTTGCTATGGGGGCGTTTGTGATAAGGAGTTTACAATCAGCCTAGTTCTCACCAGCTTCAAGAATGCTGCACATTCCTTTATGTTTCAATTTTATTAAGGCAATCCCATTCATCTGAGGCCTCTAAAAACTTGGTTCTTTTACCCAAAGATTCACTCAAAGATATATTTTCCTCATTTTCCCCATAGTCTAAGTATAAAAGATCCACTTCAATAACTGGAGTCTCAATAAATCAGCTGGGGTGTGCCAGCTCTGCCCTATGACTTTTATGATGCAATGTCTACATTTCTTTCTTTCATTGACTCAGAAATTCCCACTGTTGACATAACATTCCTGATTTTCTAGCTGGGATTAAGAGATTGGGAATGCGCTAAAAGTGGGTTGAACATTTGCAGCCTAGGCCAGATCAGTTTCTGCAAAAGATCAGTTCAGATTTCTGATAAGAATAATATGTCTCTTCCACTATAGTCTACTTCATGTGGAGGAAAAGAACAGGGATGAGAAAAAAGGTGTCAAAAAGGAAGAGAATGGGTGGCCCAACTCACCTTTTGCTTGGCTCCACTTGTCAGTTGTTTCTATCTCACCTATCAGTCAATAGGCATTCAACTTTCTGTAGATACTTTCAAGAAAATGTAGCCCAGGACAGAAATAAATTACAAAGTTCTTTATCTTTTATAATTTTTTTGGTCAAACAGAAAGCCCAGCATCCTAGAAAAAAAAGAAATGAAGGAGAACCAAATTAAGCTAGCAGTGACCAAAAAGCACCTTGCTGAAATTTACTGCATCCTTATCCTTGGACTGGGAATGTCTGATCAGCATCACATGGCTTGCGGAAAGTAAGGAAATGGTTGTGCTTAGAAAATGTTTTCTGAGTGATTCCAGATGGATCTTTTCTCACACTGCCCATCAAAAGACCTCTGCAGCTATTCTGTCTTTTCTTCATTAATATAATTTTTTTTGTGTGGAAAAAAACGAAGACAGAAGTAGTGATGGGACAGTGTGCAAGGGTTATAAATCTACTTTCACACCAAGTTTCATGAATGTGTGTAGGTAACTGCATGCTAAAATATTTACCTGGGTATACCCTCTGAAATAATGGCAATCTAAATTTGATGTCATGCCATATACCCTATGTATAAATGGCTCTAAGCAATAGAGAAATGAAGTCAGAAACTACTTTCTGAGTGAAGTAGGGATGGGAAAGAGATGAAACCAAAACAGGCAATGCTGTTTGTTAATGAAGAAGTAAAACCCCAGTTTTTTATACCCTTACTAGGAAGCATACCCACCCAACCAATGTCGCTTGTTTCCAGACAAGTAGGCACACGTCCCAGGTAAACAAGCAGAAGAAGAAAACTATCAAAGTTTGCAGTATGAAACAAAGTTATTGGGTTGTACATTTTCCGAGAAATTGGAAAGGTAGAACCCAGTTTGGGTATATTTGTTTTTTAATGGACTAATACAGCTATGATTTTCTTAATGAAGTTAATTATTGCAGCCTAACATTCCCATTATTCTTTGAAGGACAAGTCTCTGATAATCAGTGGGTAATGGGCCTTCCAGTTAGGGGTAGGCAAACCTTTCAGTTTGGTTCCTGTCTTACGTTTCAGAATGCAGTTCCATAACCTTTCAGTTTGGGTCTGAGGGGAACTGCCAGGTAGCCTGTTGTAAATGCATTCTAAGTGCATAAGTCCTATATTTAGGGTCTGAAGAGGGGTAGGCATGCTTAGCACCAGTATTTTGCTATCAGATTGTAAAGTATCTAGTCAGGGCCTTGGACTTGACAAAGAAGCATTAGTAGTCTAGGTTGCTCATACTTTCTGTATGTGTTATAATAACAATATGAAAGTCTCTTTTAAGTTGCATTCAACTCCTGCTGATATTATGGACATGCCGTGCAATTCTTTTGGCTGGGATATGGAAGTGGTTTGCCATTACCTTCTTCCAGGACAGTCTTTGATTCCTAATCCAGCCTGCAGACCTAGGATCTCCTGGTGATCTTCCAATGAAGTACTAAACAGATTCAATTCAGCTGAACTTTCTGAGATTAGCCAAACTTGGCTAGGTGCTGCTGCAACCTACTGGGGTTGTGCCATGTTGCAGTTCTATTATCTCCAGAAAACTGCTTGCCTTCTCATTTATCTAGTAATTTTATATGGCTGCCCATCTCACTGAATGTGACTCTGGGTGACATACAACCAGCAGTATGTTTAGAGCGATATCCCCATTTTCACCTAATTGTAGCACAAATATGGCTTTATCCCCTTAACATTGCCTTCATCTTGTCCCCAACAATGAATAAAATACACTTAAGACCTCCTTAAATGGCCTTTTCTTTTTATTTTCATATCATTCAAAAGCTGCCTCAGCACCTTGGAGGGAAGTCAGGTGAGAGATTGCAAATAGCAAATCAAGTCAGGACAATTTTCTGCCAGCTTAAGGGTGCGGCCTAGCACTATGGGTTGGTACCGGGGAAAGGCCCTTTGGTTAGCGTCCTTAACTCTTATGAGTGTCTGGGAAATACTCAGCCTAAACTTAATTATTCAAGCCATGATGTGTTTTAAATAATACTTTTTATGTATCACCACTGAAAGAATGTCTATATTATCTCTTAGCAACTGTTTTGTGAAAGGTCACTGTTAATGAGGAAATTATCACTGCCTATATATTCACACTTCATTTTTCATAAATCTCACTATTTACAGTTCATCCTCCTTCCTCTGTCTAGCCCTGTTAATGTGTATATAACACATAACTCAGGATAATCCTTTGTCACTATCATGAAGTGGATTGTTGCCCATGAAAACGTATACCATAATACACGTGTAAATCTTTAAAGCGCTGCATGTTGCTTCACTGTCTTTGCCAAAGGAGGCTAACGTACTATTCCTCTGGGGGAAAAGCATACCCTGAACTGAGCTCCTTTCTACTGCATGCTCATGCATTTTCCCTTTTCCTGTGAAGACTAGCCTGGCAGGAAAGATATCCCTCTGTGCCAGGGTAGGCCTGGGGCAGGAATCAAAGACCGTCAGCAAGGCCACGTGATTAGCAGAAGGACCAAGGAGAGTGGTAGAGGATGGGTGGGAAGACAGCGAAAAAACAATGACAATAGAGGAGGATTCAAGGCATACTACGGAAACAGCTGAGCAAATTAAATATTATGCAGGCATCCAGAGCAGTATTTTATCTTTATGTAGAAGAAATTCTATCCATTTCCTCATCTGCACCTTCTACCATTCATTCATGAAGACCAGGATGGGCAACCTTACAATTTTTGGAGCAGCAGATTGGGTGAAGCCACATTACACATATGGGTATGGCTAGACTGGGGAAATTTGGGGGATTTTCTTTGTTGTTTTATCCATGACTTACTGACTTTAGATTTTAAAACTGCAGTATTCATATGCTTCCCACATGAAATGGTATAAAATTGTATTGTTAGTTTTCAGTAATCATAGTTAGAGAGGCCTCTTTGGGCTGCAAAACCTGACTTTCAGGATTGCATATGACCTGGAACTGCTGGCTGCCCATCACTGATCTATACATCTTCTAAACTTGCAGGAGTCTTTCTGTCCTTGTTATCTAGGCTGCTATATGAAAGTTCACGACCAACAGCTAAAAACAGGCACATTGCTGATCCTGGCTTGTTGAACTGCCAAGGGACACAATAAAGGACAGAAGACCCATCTTAAGCCCCCAAGTTGGTTGTTGCACACAAACCACAAAATGAGATGGTAGAATGAACAGTTCCATTTCAGATTTTAAAGAACAGTGGAAAGAACAGAGTTAGAAAGATAAATAAGCAAGAGCCAAATGCCTCTCAGTATAGTACAGTAAAATCATGTCACAATAGTAAGGAAGATTCTAGCCCAGTTCATCCCTGGTATATTAGGATTCCCATTCTTGCCCTCCCAAATATGTGGAGTTGAGTTCTCAGAATTCTTAGCAATGGCAGTGCCATCTGGGGAACTCTAGTAATTGAAGTCCACGTATCCAAGAGACACTGGGGGAGGCTGTGCCAGGATTCTTCAGTGGTGTTTTTATCTGCAGGGAAGATATACAGTGGTACCTCGGTTCACGAACTTAATTCATTCCACGACTCTGGTCGTGACCCGAATTGGTCGCGCCCCGAATCAAATTTTCCCATAAGGTTCAATGTAAATATGGTTAATCTGTTCTGAC